AATATTATTTGCGCTTTTATAATATTCAGACTTTTATAATATTTCTAGATAATAAAGATAAAATACGATTTATTAGTTGTAAAATAAACAATAAAAAGGACGTTTAGCATTATTACTATGATACCCTAAATAAAAAAATGTAGACTCGTAATCTTTAGCCGGGAGATGTAAGGTTAAACCTTGCACAATTGTTGTCAAATGTTGATAATTAAACATTTACTTTTTGCTTACTTCATTTTTTGTTATTGTTTTAAATTCAATTAATAAATGTATGAAAATAACATGTATGTCTACTTTAAATATGTAATAAAAACCTTAGTACAATTATAAATTTATATTAAACCAGTGGTGTATGGCATAAGGAAAATTGCTGGAACTTTCCGTACCGTAATAAAATGTTCGAATAATATTAAATGTTTTCAAATAGATTATTATAAATACTGTAACATTGTCTAATATTTATAAAAATTGTATAAACTGAATCACATAGTGGAAATTATTTATTTAAAGTATATAAGTGAGCTTTAAAACTTTAGCCAGAATTAAAATTGTAATCCGAATTATTTTTGACACAAAAAAATGAACAGCTTTCGTTAACACAATCAGAAAGTTTTTTGAATCATTGAAATCGGATGCTCCGTTCTCTCAAAAACTCGATTTTTATTTTCTGCACTCTTTGCTCTTTATTTCCGTAACGACTGGACCTGCCTTTGCCAAAAACTAATCAGCCCATCTCCCTATCAATGAATGCACAAACAAATTTGGAAATTTCTGGTTTAAATGGTCAAATTCTTGATGTGACATATTTATATTTTACTTATACCATCATATTTATAACACTTAATTTCAAATTTGAATTTACATTTTAAAATCACAAAAAAAATGTAAATACAAAAATCAATATTACATGTTAATAATAATGTAATAATATTGACACTTTTTCGATTTATGTTCAATACATAAAATATTAAAAATATAAAACAATTTATCTCCAAATTTAATGATTTTGTCTATAATTACATGTCCGACACATTTCTGAGCAATCGAACTGTAATAAAAAATACGATTCTTTAAAATAAAATTTGTATTAGTATAAAAATATCAATGAATTTCAACATTATTCAACAGGCCTAGCAACTCATAATTTGTGACACATTTTTGACTTCCCGTAAAATCAAAAATGAAAATTTTTATATATCTTTACGTTTCAAAGGTTTATGAATATTTTGGCATACTTTAGAAAAAATGGATGGATGTATGTGTGTGTTCAGATACAAATTTTTGTCGACGATTTCGGGAACACGGATGAAGCGATTTGAATAATTCGAAAAACATTTGATTCGTATTGATAAGGAGACGTGCTGATTAGTTTTTGGCGAAGGCAGATCTAGTCGTTCCAAAGATATGGGGCAAAAAGTGCCAGAAACGGTAACTCAGGAGCGTCCGATTTGAATAATTCAAAAAACATTTTACTTGTATTAACAAGATGAAGAACTGATCAAATTTTCATGATGGCAGGTCTAGCAGTTCCGGAGATCTACTAAAAAAATTAAAGAAAATGCCATCTGGCGGTCAAAAATGATCATTAGACATATCCACATGAAATTATTAGATATTTTATAGAGATTTTAACAATAAGTATAAATTTTGTTTACATTCCTATGGGTTCCGTATCAATGCTTATCCGTTAGACGGCTGCGCGGCGCTTGCGCGCTTCCATATTACGTCTCTATGCAAATAAAGCAGTACGATTGCTTTGAAAAAAAGTTCAGAATTTCCAAAATATGTGAAAATAAAGAAAATATTTTTTTTGAAAAAAAATTTTTTTTTTCAAGAAAAAGTAATTTTTTGTCAAATTTATAGATTCTCACAAATCTAATTTTGTCGATGTATTTTTTTTTCAAAAATGTTAATCGATTTTAAAAAAATAATAATTTTTGATACGGGAGGTTCCAATAATTTGCTCTAAGGCATGATGCCATGCGCCCCACTAGTTGTTATGATTAATTACGAATATTATATTGTCTAATGACACAGTCAGAAATTCAAAAGTCAGAAAGTCAAAAATTATTACCCTTGTGATTACATTTTTTACACAAGCAAGACAGTAGTCATTATATAAGCACACTGATACGAACTTGTCTAATTCAATTCAATCTTCCCGAACTTCCGTTACGGGAAGTTGCATTAGTTTAACTTTCAATACACAATTTTAAAATCTTTTTAAATTTCTTTGATTTTTTAACTTCCTGTAGCGTAAGTTATAGTTATCGCAAAAAATCGAAAATAATTTTTTTTGCATACCTTCACGCTTCAAAGGTTTCTGAATATTTTGGCATACATTAGAAAAAATAGATGCATGTGTGTGTGTATGTTTGGATACAATTTTTCGGCCACGATTTAGGGCGCACGATTCAACCGATTTGAATGATTCAAAAAACATTCGATTCCTACCGATGAGAAGACGTGCTGATTAGTTTTAACTTCCCGAAGGAGAAGTTTATGTTTTCATAAAAAAATCCGATTCGCTAACTTTATGTCTTCTCGACGTTTCAAGCCATTCTGAATCGAATGAGACCAAATTTGGAAAAATTATGTGTGTGTGTGCGCGTATGTGAACAGATTTTTTGCCGTAAATCGACGTTTTCTCAAAAACGGCTGGACCGATTTCAAAAATTTAAAAGCCAATTGATGTATCTCGATGAGGACTATTATTTGTCAGACTATATTTTGTGCGAAGATCGGCCAAGCCGTTTCTTTAAAAAATGACAGAAAAGTGAAAAAATTTTCGTCTACGTTTTAGCCCGCAATTCTGAATCGATTTTGAAAATTCAAAAACTGTTCGAAAGATATTGATTGGGAATCGTGCTGATGAGTTTTTAAAGGGTAGAGATCGGCCGAGCCGTTTTCTTGTAATAAAGTTTAAAAAAAAAAAATTTCGACGATTTTTATGATTATTTTTTTGGCGGTACCATAGTCTTCTAGATCTTACTAAAATATTACGGCCCTACGACAACTCGTTTATCTTTAAAAATTTGTCAAAGTTTGCAAAAAATAGTATGGTCTTTTTGGCATTTGTCAAAATTAGAACTATCATCGACGTTTGCTCAAAAACGCCTGAACCGATTTCAAAAATTTTAAACCATTTGATGTATCTCGATGAGGATTATCGTTTCTGAATTTTGTGCGACGATCGGCCAAGCCGTTTCTTTGTAATTTGAAAAAAAGTGTTCAACTTTTCGTCCACATTTAAGCTCATTCTACCGAATCGATTTTAAAGAATCAAAAACTGTTCGAAAGATATTAGTTGGGAATAATACTGATTAGTTTTAAGTGAAAATCTAACGAGCCGTTTTCTTGTAATTAACTGTTGAAACAAAAATTGAAGCCGATTTTTATGGAACTTTTTTTGGCGATATATATCAATGTCTTATACAACTTATTGAAATATTGCGCCCTTACGACAAAACTCACCAAAATAAAATTAAAATTGGACTACTTACTTGGTATAACGATAGAATTCTTGGTTTTAATGAACATACTGAGCCATTAAAGTCCTATGCAAACTGGTTCAATTATAATAATTGTTGATTTTTGAAAATTTGCTTTTAGAAAATACTCCGAGTCAAAGTGTTCGTTCGTGTTCAATTATGTGTAATAAATCCACTCGGAATACTTTTAATCACTCATAAATTAATTTATTTTTTATTGATTAAGTCGATTATTCACACATATCGAGAAGTTCATGTAACTTGCCTCAAGGCTAAATACCAAACCAACTAGTTTGGTACAGGTCCGGTCGTTTCAAAGATACGGGGCAAAAAGTGCCAAAAACGATAATTCAGTTTTTAAGAGAACGGAATTCCCGATTTTAATGATTCAAAAAGCATTTTACTTGTATTAACAGAAACAGAAAGATTGATGAAGTTTTTGGTAAGGCTGGTCTAGTTGATAAGGCTGGTTTAGCGGTTTCAGAGATACTGAGGAAAAAGTGAAAAAAAAAATGTTTGGCGGTCAAAAATGATCATTAGACATATGCACATCAAATTATTACTTATTTCATGAATATTTTAAAAATCAGTACTAATTTTGTCACAATTTTGTTGGGTTCCGTACCAAGATTTTTAATTTTAAAGTTTACTTATACGGTTCTGCAAATTTTAAAATTTTCAGAATTTTTTTTTCAAAAATATACATAGTTTTATACTTCAAATTTACAATTCAGTTTGATGATTTATATATTTCAAATGCGTAAGAAATTGATCGTAAGAAATTTATCCTCAGATGAATTCATTCGGCACGTCTTGCTAATGTAAACTTTCTCAAGTGCTTTGAGCGATAAGATCGTCACAGTATATTTTATGAACGATAAAATATATAGGGATTATAATTATCTGGTTGAAAATGTTTAAACAATTGTTATTAATCAATGATCAATATTTAATGATCACTGTTTTTTTTCTTCGAATATTTCATACTGGTACGAGAAATTCTAGGTATTTTCCTTAAGGCAGGATGCCATACACCACTAGTTTTGTATTCATCACAAACTTGTTTATAACTTAACATCTGTTTAAAACGAATTTTGAATTTCGAATTTTTAGCGGTAATGAAAAGTAATTAATTAAAATTTTCGAACGTTTTACTATTATATATATCAAGAGTGCATAGAAATTATTTATGTTGACGTAAATCAAATGTTTAAACGTTGTTGGGCAAATTATATCTACAATATTAATTAACATATGACACTATTCACTTATGAATGTCCAGTTCTCCATTGGATTACGCTTGATAAATAATACGTATGAAATACTAATACCAATACATATATAATATATTAAATGAATATGTAAAATTTCGATGTATCGACTTTAGAGTTGAGATTCTTGTTTTCATCCATTAAATATTTCCTATATGTGTGTTAGCGTGTGTGTGCGCGGTGCTGGACTATCTATGAAAGAAGTCAAGTCAGTCGGCTCGGCGATCAGTTTGACAAGACCCACAACAACAAGTAGGTGTGTTTGAGTTTACGAAGGTGCTATCCGATATAAAAGAGAATATAATCAAACAATTACTTCATTTTGTGCTTCACCTTGACGTTGAAGTGCCAAATATCGGTGCTGTTTCTAAAGAAAGATCACAGGTAAATATATATATATATACTGTTATTTATTGGATCAACCAACACTAACACGCATATTAACTGTGAGGAATATCTTATTAGCGAGGTCTTATTCATAATATGCGATTTGATCTATTTAAATATGTTTATAAGGTGGCACACACAATAATTGGAGCGCTGGGGTGCATTTTTTAAATACATTTTACCGGCTGGCAAAAAAATGTGGAATAGAATTTTTAGTTCATCTGATGTTTAACATATGAATCTTTAACCGTTATATTTTAATACAATTCTTTAATTTATCAAAAATTCTAGTATTTAAAGCTAATTAATTAATTTTTTATACTTCATCTTACTCAATCAGTAATTTTCTGTATCATTTAGTTTATTTGGTAACAATCTGTTAAACAATTAATTTTCTTTGTTATTTGTCAGAAATAAACATCATGTACATAAGTAAAATTGTAACCGATAATATATTAATTAAAATAATCGTGAATATGTCAATGGTCATCAATGTTTATTTAGAACAATAAAAGACATAAACCAAAAAACTTCCCCAAAAATATTAAGGATTTATTATAAATACAAAGCCTTAGATTGAATATTTACACAATGTGCCGTGTTTTTTTCAAATATTTCACTTAGACTGCTTACATACTATTTGTCATAGCAGTTCAAAATGTTCAAATGATTAATTTTATTTCATAACCTTCTTATTGAATATTTCATACATGTCTTTACCTGATGTTTTCCTATAATGTCTGCCGGCGCACTTATTAGGGATATTGCCGGGTCATGGCATGTGCTCGTGGAATTATTATATGGTAGTGTTGCGCAAAACGCGTTTTCCTTACGATTTTCCCGTTTTGCGCGCATTTCGCCATACCCTCAAGAAATCTATTATATACTAAGTTTAAGGATGTCGTGGAGAGCTCCTACAAAAAATAAACAAATTTATTCTCGACTTATTGAAAATTATATAATTTAAGTAGAATTAATTGTTTTGTTTATTCCTAGAATTGACTTCTTAATTATAATTGATTTTTAACGAAAAAAACTAGCTTGTAATGTTGCTAAACCATTTCATAAATAAATGAAATTGGGAGCTTTATTAATGCTTTTTATTTCTTAAAAATTTAAAAGCGAAAGGAGTATGGTTTTCACATCACTACGAAGAAGTAATATATTAGATTTTTAAAACTAGTAAGCTACCATTAGGTAACTAGATAGAAAGTAGTAAGTAAATTAGTAAATTAGATGGAAAGTAGTAGGCAGAAATTTTTTGCATATCTTCACGTTTTGGATGTTTCTGAACATTTTGGCATACCTCAGAAAAAATGGATGTGTGTGTGTGTTTTGTGTGTCCGCATCTTTTCATTAACGTTGCCGGATCAACCGATTTGAATGGTTCAAAAAGCATAAGATATGCAAAAATTTTCATTTTCGATTTTCCCATTACAATAACTTACCCGGAAGTTAAAGAAGGAAGAAAAACAAAGATGATTAAGAGGGGAGCCTGCTTTAGAGGCTTTAAAAAAATCATTTTTTTTTTGCGAAAATGTCTTCGTGGTGCATCGACAAACTGCTCGTACCCGGCATATTATGAGATATATTTTAATGAAAAATTTGAGAACGATGTTGAGATATATAACAATAAAACCTGAAAGTTTTGTTTCAAATAAATATTTCTTTTTTTCTTTAAAAATAACAATAATAATAGAGATAATAATAATAGCAATAATAAATATTAATTATAAGTAACTTGAGTGGGACATTTTTCTGTACATAATAGAAAAAAATATGATGACCCTTCTATGAGCCAGTTCAGTTCCTTCATTTCATTCTGTGAAACCCTGGGACCGATTCTGCTGCATGACAGACCAGACGGCAAGGCTATGTTATGAAGAACTTTTCATACAAACTCGTTCTGAATATTGGCAAAAGTCATGCGGTTGCTGTTCAGTCAGGCGAATTTTTCAGGTTGCCGGATAGAAATAACATAACCTAGAGGCCGCACAAATGTCAAAAAAATGATGTTAGATAACAGGGTCTTTCTGACTGAGTTTCATAACATACGAGTGACGTTGCAGTTTATGTGTAAAACGTCTGAATGCACAGAAAATACATGACATTTTGACTGTATTTAGTAAGATTCAGTAGCACAATGTATGGAAGTTGGAGCGTAACATGGCGTTGCCATAACATTGGTCTGTTGTGCGACAGAATCGGCCCCTGTAACTCTTCATTCTCTATTTTTTCATTGTTAGGTGCATTTTCCAGATGTGTTTTTTTATCTATGTGCATTCCTAGGTATTTTACAGATTCCTGATTATTCAAGTATAATGCAAGTATATAAAACGCCTGAATGCATAGAAAATATATGACATTTTGACAGTATTTAGTATGATTCAGCAGCATAATGTATGGAAGCTGATACGTAACATGCGTTGCCATAACATTGGTCTGTTGTGCGGCAGAATCGGTCCCTCTATCTTTTCATTCTCTATTTTTTCATTGTTATGTGCATTTTCCAGATGAGTTTTCTATCTGTGTGCATTCCTAGGTATTTTACAGATCCTTGATTATTGAAGTTGAGTGGTTTATTAATGAAATGATAAGATGTTGTGATTTGTCGACATTGATTTTGATGTTTCATTTTCTAAACTTAATTCTAATTCAGTCAGATAGTTTTGGATTTTAGAATTTGCTATTCATGCATCCTTGTAACTTGAAGTAATCGCAATATCATCAACATTCGTACACAGTGTTACAATTCCAGATTTCTTTGGTATGATCTTCTAGAAGTCTTTGAATAATAAATTTTCCGTCCATAAATTTATCAAATAAACTCCGAGGACGATTGATAGGAATCGGACGAATAGGAAGAAAAGGGGAGTGGTCGAAATATAAATCAAAGTTGGTTCGATAATGAATTGGAATGTTGGAATACCTTTTATTATAGAGAAATCAAGCACACCTGAAATTCTGTTAACATTAGTTGGCAAGTATATTAGTTTTCTAGAAGACATGTGTATGTGAAACATTTATCTGATTCATTGATGTTCGTAGTTCTTTTCCTGTAGTTAGTCTAGAGCTTCAGGATATAAGTTTGCAATTAAAATCGCCTCCTGCTATAAATTTAAGCCTATGCCGCTGAAGAATGAATTTAAATTGGCTGATAAATTTTGTTTTATGGCGGGCAGTAAATAGATGTCAGTATTATGCTATAATATTTAAGCCCGGTGCACACGACGCCAGATTTCATGCTGGACAGTTTGTAACCTAGCACCGACATTGTAAATCATAATTTACGATCTTGCCCGACATATTTTGCGGCGGTATCCTGATCATACTTTCTGTGTAAAATTGTTGCTAGGCGGAATTTGATTTCACAACAACTTCTGTCCTCGCAAATTCCTGCCGTATTTTACGAAGAGCATGTCTTATTCGGCGATAGATGAACTATTTTGTGGCCGATACCTTCAGTGTCCAATAGGAAAGCTGTATTTTGCAACGTAAATATCAATGCGTACTTGATTCATGTACTTCGATTTTGGAAGAGTTCAGTTTTTATTTTCTAAATAGCTATTGTGTATATATAGCGGCGTGAATAAATGATTAGTTTAGGAAACGCAGTTTAAATATACATTTTTTCAAATTTTCGTAATTTTATCTGAAATATCAAAAGATTTCAAAATTTCTAAATTATTAAAAAAAAAATCAAATCGTTTTATTCCAAAAATGTCGAAATTTGCAAAAACACTCAAAATTAAAAAAAGAAATTGCGAACCTTTTTAATATTTTTGTATCAGTATTAATTATTCGATAATATAAATCTTTTAATTATTATTATTTCACTTAATCCTAATCAGATGCGATACATATATGTATTTGTTTACAATTCTTACAATTCTCTGTTTGTACACTTATAAGCATTAGTGTATTTTAGACCTATAAAATATGAATTGTGAAATTCACAGTATATATTTATAATAATTTATTTGAAAATGCACGAAATTACTATTAATCATAAAATAAGTGAAAATCTGGTGCAAAATTCTTGCTCCAGAAGCAAGCAGCTTACGACAGAAATCTTGTTACAAGGAATACTGGCGTCGTGTGCACCGGGCTTTAATTATAGGCAGAGAGTGGTGTTTATTGTTATTTTTTATTAGTATTGCTGCTCTTCTATGGCATTTCCCATCAGGGTAATTTGAAGATTATGTTACTTAATTTTGTATGATAAAATATGATTCTTCGCCCTTCATTGAAGAGAGTTTAGGAAATTAGTAGAATATCGACTAGGTTGAGTTTTAGTAATATTTCAAGTTCGTATTTGTGTTGAATGACGCTATTTGCATTCCATTGACATATTGTAATTGCTTCTACCATTATTTAAGTTGTTTACTAATATGATTAGCATATTTAAAATAACTGAGTTTTGTTGGTACATTTGTTGGAACATAATTTTAAACTAGATTTAGAATTCGATAAATGAAGTTGATGAGACTGATTACGTGTTTTGAGAGGAATAATTATTTTTAGTAGCATTGGCATAGGATACGTTGTTAAGATTTGAGCTATTGCGCTTTGTAGAAAGTGTTTTTCACTTGCTTTTTACTGGGTAATGTGTTAAGAGTAATTCGGATATGAATAAACCGGATTTAGATTTGTTTTAGTTGTAAACTAACATCTTGTTTATACTTTTGAGCGTATAAATTTTGGTATACGAGACAACATTTGTAACTTGAGACATGGTCTAGATTACAGATACATATGGGTGGGTTATGAGAATTTTTTTCACACTTGGCTGTCTCGTGAAAATCAGATAATTTTAAACAACGATGGGTACGATAGCAATATTCCTTGGTGTGACCATATTATTGGCATCGACCGCATTGCACTATTAAATGCATTTGTGAATTCTAGCTGGTTAAATTTATATAATAGAGTTTTTGAATTTAGTTACCTTAAGTACATACTAGTTGCTTTCAGCAGGTTCTAATTTAACGATGAAT